TAAAGGCTATACATCTTCACATAGTCTGTTTTACAAAACGTTGGCTAGCTGGCTGAACTGCTGCGGCTCGCACACATGTGTGCTGTTCACACAGACAGCGCTGCTGCTGCCAGCCCTATCTTTGTACATCGTGTTTGTCTTTGATAATGGCCATCAATAAAAGCATTGTTAACAAATGAAGGGATTCTATCCACAGACATTTTTTTATTTCACTTCTGTGATATATTCTACAGATAGACATTGAAACTGTAGCAAAAATAGAGTGAAAATGATCTTTTGATAGGTATATTGACACTATAGCAACAATACACATTCCATTACAGTTGTAACTCTTTAGACCTTGAGGTAGTTAAGTTTGTGAATTTCTGCGCTGATGATCAAGCTGCACTGTCACAAAAAAGAGATCTGTAGCTCCAATTTTCCTGCTTAATCCTATTAGAAAAAAAACAATTCCATTTTACCAAGGTGCCAGCTGTGTTATGTATTTGTACTAGTACAGGGAGTTTGAGATGCTCAGCTATTTGAAAAAAAATTACAACAACATACATTTGTAAGTGCAACAGCTTGTGCCCGCTGAAAGCGGTTTTCAGCGTCACTTACACAGTATGTGTAAGAAGCGGCTATAAGGCTGTATAGATGTGGGGCAACAAAAATGTCAGCCCATAACTTAAATCTAATTTACACAGGCCTGTCTTTCAGGTGGCATTTACAATAAACAATTCAGGACATAGATATATACAATAGTAGGCCTAGCTGACACTGTTTTTAACAGCACAAACTTCATTCCCCCAGCCCATCAGTAATCATTTGACGAAGTCTTAGATAAAGGTCTGTAATTTCATACACATCATCAGACATTGCCAGGTTATGCTCTGCCATAAGTTCCATACACAAGTGAAACACGTCCTCATCACAAGGATAGTCCTTAAAACAACAGTCCTCTCGGCATATTTCTATTTTCATTTCATCTACTGGCTGCAAGAAATTCTGAGCCCCATAAAGGTTGGGAACTGCATACATTATGGAGGGGCGGCCATTAGGAGCCCGAGGATTGTTTGTTGTTCTAATGTGATGGTCATTCCAGGCAGTTACAACTTCATCAAGCTCCTCCTTTATAATGGACAGAAAAATAGTGAAAATGTTTGTTACAAAATAATTGGCGTTTTATGCATATTATCTCTTATAGTTAGGGGAGACCAGGGATGTTTGTATCAAAAGGATGGTTTTAACAGCACCACTTTCACCAAGAAGGGATGACTCATGTGATCAATTTAATGTATGACTTCTTCTTTCACTTAATGTAAGATGTGACACTTTTCATCGATGCTTATTTCAAACCACCATGCTGCTACAGCTAGCTATATGGCTGACAGGGGTGGGGATGGATGTAACACTCTTTTAATCTCATTAACCCTGAATTGACAACTACATACACACACACACATATTTTTGTTCACTACATAGCTGATGTTCTCTTCTAAATTTAAAAGTATCAGCACCACTGTAAAAGGCAAATACAATGACAATTCTCTTTATTTAGCGTATACGTTCCAAAAGAAAGAGTACAGTCATTTTTTAAGTGACTTAAAAGTCAGTAGTGATTTGTTTTTGTTCTTGGCGATCTACAGGAAGATGTTGAAGTGTTGACACATGCGCCATAAACTATATGTTGTGGTGTGATCTCAATTTTTAATTTTACCCTTGTATTATAAAACTTACCTCGTAGTGGGACAGGTTGTAAATGTTGTGATTAATGAATTTTGTGACATATTTGGAGAAGTCAGAAATATTGCTATTTGTAGTAGACAAATAAGGGTACTTTGTGTCAAAATTTGAGAGCTCTAATAGAAAAAAATTCGGTGAGTTATAGGTGCTTGGACAAAAAGTGTTACAATCGTCCACGGTCTCCCCTACATCTGTCTTGATACTGTAATCAATAGGTTTTTAGGATACTGTACCTGTATGGTATTTTGGAAGCAAAACTGGATTTGAAGCTGTCAACAAAATAGCCATCTGCTTTCAGCTGGTCGAAATGGTCCATCCAAAACTGGGCGCATTCACTCCTCAAGGTGCACCACCAACGTTCAATCCTTTGATTTCCAGTACTTGGACCTAAAGGGACACACTCAGTACCATTCTAATCCGGTGTGCAGAAACGTTTGCATTATGCAAGGTTATTCTCCGTAGTGTGATCTAACCTGATTTTTTGCAGACATCCATTGTTTTCGCTCACAGCATCTATGAAGTAACCTGCGATAACACAAGGGTCATTGTTGGTTTTGTATGCTTCTAGCCATATCATTTTTCTCGAGAAGCCATCTATGCAACCACTGATACATATTCCATAAGGCTTTAATTTGTCATACCCATCTATATGCCATACATAGTTTGGCCCACGGCTGACATACATACGCCGTCTTAAACAGTTGCGGGCACGCAGATCTACCCCATTCCCATCCATCAGTTGCATCAATTGACGCACAGTTTCTCTGTCGGTAATTATCCCGGACATTCCAACATTTCTGGTGCGTCCATCTGTAGCCGTGCTGTTTGCCAGACGTGTGTAGCTGTTGGTGAATGAAGGATGCTACCTCAGCTTCATCTGTCTTATTTTGTCTGCACCAAAGTTGGTTCTTTTGTAGCTCTCTCTAGGGTCTGGAGGATTAGTTTGATATCATGTGATTCTTCCAAAACGACTACAATTTCACGATTTGTGAATCCACGTCTCAAGTAGCCTTCAATGAGGGTATCCATTTGGATCTGCTAAGCTTTGTCTCATCCACTTGCTTCTGTTGCTTTGGCGCGGAAACGACACATAGGCCTATGAAACGTTTCTCATTATTACGAGATAGTAAGTCATAATTATGAGATACTATTATGATAGTATCTCATTATAATAACTTACAGGATCTTTATTTTTTTTCCTCACAGTGGCGGAATGGGCTTCCATAAGATGGGCTACTTATAACATTAATACTAACATGACTACATCCAGATATTATGCTAAAAGGATGTGAAGTTGGAGTTTCTTACTGTGACATACATAATCATTTCATCAATATTTCTTCTAATTTGGCTCTAACTGCTTCAGTTTGTTTGCTACTTTGCTAGTTTTAAATACTTATTCCACTAATAACTATATGTCTCTATGTAGCCTAATAATAATCATCTTCATCAGCTGCTGTGATGAGTTGTGGCGAAGATGGTTATATTTCAAATGTATTCATTTTTCACTACCCATGTGAGCACTTATTAGTTTGATGTACATTTTCTTCCATCAATGACAGTTGTCCTTGTAATTTACGCCATCTGTTCAAAATCTCACCACTCCACCTGCAATTATGAAGATAGCAGACAGTCCCCATGCATTCAAAGCAGCAACAAAATCACTACAAATAATAAAATAAAAAATAATAACAATGTAATACTTCAAAATGTGTTTATCTTTATTTTACTTCCTGCTGCTGTAAAAATATAGTTTTCCTGGGGTATCGATAAAGAAATCAACCGTCTTGCATCGTTAAAAAACTACAAGTCCCAGCGGCAGCCTGAGCATGGCGTCACCGGAAGTTAGTCATTTTGGTATAAAACCATTTCCGTGTCCACTGAGGGTCCTTTCCTGTCTACGGCCTTTCGGAAGATGGCGGTGCAAATCTCCAAGAAGAGGAAGGTTAGCGCTGAATAATCTCCGTTTTACTAACACAGACAGTCGGTATACATAAAAATGGGGTCAAATTAATTTGGATACAACCGTTCAGTGTTCATCCCGTTGTCAGTCGAACTTGTAAACCTTTGGTCCTGATAGGATTAATCCAGATGGTGCCAGCGCCGCGTCCTCATTTGGCTAGCTAGCATGGCTCTCTCCGCCGCGGCCGGTTACGAGTTACAACCCGTTACCCACAGACTCGAGCCCCGTACTCACTTAAAACTCAGTCGGGTTGTGTTGAAAACATTTTTACTAGACTTTTAACCCTGTGAAATATCGCTGCACGTCTCCTCTTAAACGGAATTTGTTCAAAATGTGGAGTAACGTTAGCTAGCTAGTGAGATAGTGCCATAGTCGTATGAACGGGGATCGAGATAAAGTTGGCGAACGTTATCCTAGATCAAGCAGCATTAAGTTTGAATAACTATACGCAGTTAGGCACATTTAATTGAAACGTTTAATGGCTGCCAAGGACAGTGAACATTAGTTCATTTTGAATGACTGTAAACGACTGAGGATAGTATTTATTTAGGTGAAACGTATTGTAGTTGCACCTCAAAACATGCGTCATGTGGTTCTAGTAGTTACTTTAAATAAACTTGTACAATTGCCGAACTATTCAGCTGATATAACGCAAACCAGTTACTGGGCTGCTATCTGTGATACTCATTGTGCTCATATATTTAGAGTTATTCAATTTATTAAATATGGAATTCACTATCTGTGGAGTTTGTCTTAACTGCATTCATTGGATCTGACTTAAAACTAACTCACTAGAAATGACAATAGTAGTGGCTGAGGTCACTTTCCCTTTAAGAGTGATGAATTAAGCACCTTTGCATATGCTTCCTCGTCTGTCCCCAGACATTCACTGCGTTAAAGTCCAATGTTCCCTCCGGGTGATGGTTTGTTTTACAGTAGCTGACCCTGTCCTCTCTCCTTAGTTCGTCTCAGACGGTATCTTCAAGGCCGAGCTGAACGAGTTCCTGACTCGCGAGCTTGCTGAGGATGGCTACTCCGGTGTGGAGGTGCGTGTGACCCCAACCAGGACTGAGATCATCATCCTGGCCACAAGGTGAGTGTCAAGCATTTTATTTTGATATTCATACATGTTTTTTTTTTATAGACGTGTACATCAGAAATTGCGGGTATGATATTGAATACTATCAAGCAGAGTTCACATTAGAAACTGGAATCTGTTGCACGGAGCCTTGCGTTAAGTGTCCCTTCAGTGATGATACGATGACGAGTCGGAACAGGACTCTGGTTCTGGGGGTT